TTCACCAATTGATAAATGGTCAAAGGATATGAACAGGCAGTTTCCGATGAAGAAATCAAAGCTTTCTATAGGCATATGAAAAACTGCTCTAAATCACTTGATTAGAGAAATGCAAATTAAAACAACTCTGAAATACCAACTCACTCCAAGAAGATTAGCTAATATGATAGAAAAGGAAAATGATAAATGTTGGAGAGGATGTGGGAAAATTGTGACACTAATACACTGTTGGAATTGAGAATTGATCCAACCATTCTGGAGAGCAATTTGAAACTATGCCCAAATGGCAACCAAATTATGCATACTCCTTAATCCAGCAATATCACTACTATTTCTGTATCCCAAAGAGATAATAAAAAAGGGAAAAGGACCTACACGAGCAAAAATATTTATAGCAACCCAATTCATGGTGGCAAAATATTAAAATTGAGGAGATGCCTGTCAACAGGGGAATGGCCAAACATGCTGTGATATATGAACGTAATGGAATACTATTGTGCAACAAGAAATGAACAGGCAGATTTCAGAAAAATCTGGAAAGGCTTGTATGAACTAATGCAAAGTGAAATTAGTGGAATTAAAAAAACACAGTATCAGCAACCTCTTGTGATGATCAACTATGAATGACTCAGCTTTTCTCAACAACACAGTGATTTAAGACAAGTACAAAGGAAAATGCTATACATAGCCAGATAAAGAACTAATGGACCCTGAATCAGATTGAATCATTTTTTTCCCACTTGCTTTATTCTTTCTCATGGGTTTTTCCCCCTTTTGATCTGTGTCTTCTTCCACAACTGTGATGACTATGGAAATGTTTTACATGATAGCTTATGTATAAACTATATCAAACTGCCTATTAATTTCAGAAGAGGGGTGGGGAGGGAGGGAGAAAAATTTGGAACTCAAATCTTGTAAAAATGAATGCTAAAAATTTTCTTGATATGTAATTGTGGGGGGAAAAATTAAATACTATTTAAAGCAAAAATAACAAAAAAATCATATCTACCTGTTCCCTTATATATTCCTTAGAGGATATAATATTGTTTAGGGGATAACAATATTGTTTAGGGGACGTAATTTTTAGGTTCAATCTAAACTCTTGATTACTGTTCCATAATGGGGAAAGAAGATCTCCCAGCTCTATATCCAAGGCTTGGTGACTTTCCCACCAAATAGATGTCAGTTACACGATGAACACACATAGTAAATAAACCCAAGTCAAGTTGAGAACAAAACAGAAATCAGAGAAAGTGTATGTCAGAAAATACACAGAGTAAATGAACTCTCTCAGTAGGAGAGAAAGCTCAACCAAGAGATCTCAGATCTCATCCAAGGGAATATTCCCATGAAGTCTCTAGGCACCTCTCTAGGGTAGTAAGCTGGGGATAGAGCCATGATAGTAACTGTCAGCTTCTCTACATGCCAGTTTCTTCCCAGAGATCTGAAGAGAAATTGGAACTATGCATTTTCTCTCTCAAAGCAGCAGGCTTGAAGAGTCCTTGTAATCTACTTCTGTCCAGCTCTCACCAATTCCACCTGCCCCCACAAAGATGCAGGGCATTGAGTAATCAGCCTCCACCAATGAGGAGAGTCCCATGCAATTAGCCCTTTGGACCAAGGGTTACAGGAATAAGGAAATAGGTAGTGGAGGATTGGGGAATGGAGTGTGGATGATGCTCTATGGGAGTCCAGGATCATTTGGATGGGAAGGGAATGATCAGCTATAATCCATGCCATTCCCAATTCAAGAGGGTTATTAACATCACTAATGGGCCTCAGGGTAGTGTCTTCCCGCTTTGCTCAGGAGAGAAGACCCATGAGAGAAACAGGTAGAACAGCATTTCTATCCTATCCCTGCAAGGAAGCCAGAGAAAAGATGGGCCTAGAGCAGAATGGAATGGGGGTTTCTGTCTCTGGCAAGCAGGAAGAGGTAAAGAGTAGGAGACTAGAATTCCATGGAATGGCTTCTCTCTGCTGGCAAGAAGAGGAAAGACCCAAGTGAAAAAAGAAAGGAAAAACCATCACTTCTTGAAAGAAATGCAAAATGAAAATATCCATTAATGTCATAGCCAAAATTCAGAGCCTCAGTCAGAGGAAAAAAAAGACTTGAAGTAGCCCGGAAAAAAAAAAAGTTAAATACCTTTCCCATACATGCTTTACGTTGTATATTAGGCTCATATTGTCCATTTATGTCAACTCCTGCTTTTGTGGGTAGACATGAGTTCAGACCGAAGTTAAATTTTCACTGGGACATCAACATGGGAATTTAATAAGCTGGAGTGTAGTTTAAGGGAAACTAGCCCCCAGGCTGTTCTAGGATTGAACCCAGTCCAGATTAACTTGATGTGGGTCTAGGGCAGAGGGGCCCCTTTAGAACAGTGAATGGCGTAGTGACCCAGTCCCTAGGGCCAGCAGTGGTTGTTATTATTAGAAAGAGAAGAGATTAAACCTTTTGGAATGCAGCCAAAGCGGTCTTTAGCAGAAAAGTCTGTGTCTCTAAATACTTTAATTAGCAAGAGAGATAAGATATCAATGAATTGGGCATGCAACTAAAAAAAGACTAGAAAATGAAGATACCAACTAAGATTTAAATTAGGAATTCTTAAAAATCTATCAATGAAATTAAAAGCAAATAAAAAGGTAATAAAATTACTTTAAATGAGAAAGATTGAGAAGCTAAACTGTTCTTATTGAAAGCAAAAAAGGAGAATTAACAACAAAGAGAAAAAATAAATTAGAAATTACCCAATTATATATAAAAAAATAAATGTATGAATATTTACAAAAACATTACTCAGATTAATAATAGAAGAAATAAAGAATTGAAATAACTCAATCTCAGAAAAAAACATAAGCTGTAAAAGAATTCCCAAATAGAAAAAAAGCCCAGGACCAGATAGATTTACAAGTAAGTGACTTATTTTTCAATTTTTTTTTAATTGAAAAATTTTTAGTTTTACTTTTTTTTTTCCCTTCTCTGTCTTATTTTTTAGGCAATTGGGGTTAAGTGACTTGCCCAGGGTCACACAGCTAGTAATTGTCAAGTGTTTGATCTGAGGCCAGATTTGAACTCAGGTTGTCCTGACTTCAGGGCTGGTGCGCCATCCACTGCACCACCCAGCTGCCCCTAGTTTTACTTTTTGCAAGTGATTTTCTCTCCCTCTCGTTGCCTCCTTTCCCTCACTCCCCCCCCCAAACAATTGATATTGATAATAAAAATAGAAAAACAAAACCCTCCTTTAAAATGTGCATAGTCGAGGAAAACAAATTCCCACACTGGCCATATCCAAAAATGTCTCATTCAGCATTTTACATCTATCACATCTCTGGTAGGAGGTGGGTAATTTACTTCTGTCCTCTGAAATTGCCCTGCCAGTTTCCTCTGAAACTGTCCATTTCACCAAGTCTTATAGCGCAAAAATATCCCTCATATATTCATAAACCCTAAGTTACTTAATCATTCTCCAATAGGTGGAAACTCCATTAGTTTCCATTTTAAGGCTACTATGAAAGGAGCTACAATAAATATTTTTGTACATACAGGTCCTTTTTCTTTAATTTCTTTGGGGTATAGTCCTAATAAAGGCTAGGTCAAAGAATATGTTTAGTTTAGGGATTGGGAGGGCATAGTTCCAAAATGCTTTCTAGAATATCTGGAAAAATTCCTAGATCCACCAATATTTCATTAGCATGCCTATTTTCCCACAGCCTCTCTTCTTTCTTCATCTTTTTCAGTCTGATGGGTACAAGGTGAAATGTTGCTTTGTTCCCAATAGACAGCCCAATATCCTAAGGCCAAAAGTCAACTCTTCCTCCCTCCCCAATCCCTACTTTCAACCTGACACAAGCAGCCATCACCGATTGAGGATAGCAACCCCAAGGGAGAAAGTCAATAAACATTTTAGCTTCTAAGTGGTAAAAAAGTACCACCAAAACCTACTACCACCAGGTCCTAGAGCCTAGAGAATAATACTGTGACCCTTCCTCCCACCAGCCCTACTTCTAGACTGGCCCACATAACAACTGCCTGGAGAAATAATCCTTGTAACATGACCTGCCAACTGTCCCAGAAGCCAAAGTTACTAAAGACCCAGAAAAGAAAGTTCTCATCACGAAAGTCTTCGGCACTGTCAAATGGCTCAATTTCAGAAACAGATTTCATTTTATTCGTGGAAGTAACAGTAAACAATATGTTTGCTCCTGCAACCCGAGGACCGTAGGGCCTATCTGACTCAAGGCTGAAATCTGTGTTATCTCCCTCTATTGGAAAGTGAACTCCTTAAGAGCAGAGACTGCTTTTTTGCTTGTAGTCCAGGACTTAGCATGCTGCTTTGCACATAATTGCTCAATAGATGCTTTTTTATTTTCATGAATAAAACCAAAAGAAGGAACTTAACAAATGTTGATTTCTGGTAACAGTTTCTCTATCTGATGTTTTAAAATTCAAGGGGAAAAAATTATTTCATCACATATTATTTGTTGAATTAATTCCATTTGCTAACTTGTTAACTCCTCCCTCATTCAAATTAGCCTTCTGGGTTAACTAGAACTGAAGCTCTAGAGAAAAAAATCAGGAAGGATTCTTGAAGTAGGTGAAATGAATTACTATGCAATTGGGTGCCTGAAAACTTATTCTGAGATCGAGCTAGAAAAGGGTACGTACCTAGGGAAATGTGCTATGCCTCTTCGTGGTTAACAGATGAGCTCTCCAAAGTCCACCACAAATTACCACAGTCATGGCCTTCACAAAGTGGCGAAAGGCAGAGTCTGAGGCAGATGTCCCTGCTTTTAAACAGACTAAGAAGGAGGGCGTAGTTTCTTTATACCACAAACACACAGAGAAGTTCTCCACCAAGGATGTCCCAAAGTGTCGCCTAAGCCCAAAACAAGTAATTTTTTTATTGAGGAAAAGGAGTCCTATATATTTAAAGAAATTAGGTCGTTGAGAGAGGAAAAAAAGAGACATTTAGAAATATAGAATTTATTTTTGTCGTGTTTACAATAAGACAGTTTTAACATTCTTTACATCAGAAAATAATAGATAATACTTTTCATTGTGTTTAAGAATTGCATCATGTTGCTAACAAACATTGCTTATGCTGTGTGAGTTGGGAAATATTTATTTTCCCTTTCACTCTTTTTTAAGGCTCAGTTTTTCAAAGTTATTTTATTATTTTTCTTAACCTGTAAGGGCAGTAAAAATATACCCACCCCAATGGCATAGTGCCACATTGTTCTACATTCATGCTTCTATTAAAGATATGCAATGCGACTTCATTTTCCTGATTCTAGCATGTGAAGGTTTGCCTATGAAAACAAACTATGTCAAACTAGAGGCAGACAAAAGAACAGCTGAGAATACTAAGAGGCAGAGCTATAGGTATGAAAGAAAGTAGCAGATTACTGGTAAGGTGCTTTATTTCGATACGAACTCTTAGATTCAATTCACTTTTCCACGTTGGACACATCTGATGAGTGGAGGTCCACAAATAATGTTTCTACTTCTAACCCAAAATAGGTACTTTCATGGCATCGTAGAGTCAAAGCTTGTTTCCTAAAAACCCCCCAAACACCCCATCTTCAAATTTTGGGTGACAGAATTCACGTTTGCCAGGACACCAGAGGAACTGTACCTATTGAGTATTTTTATTTTTGTTTTTTTGTTTTCTGAGGATGGCAGGGATGGAGAAAAAGCAAAGCTAATCAGAAAGTGAAGTCGGGCTATCCTTCTGGAATTATTATAAACAAGGAGCTCCAAGAAACCTTAGAAAGCGTCCTTTTCAAGATTTACTACATAAGCATTTCAGTCCAATATTAATTATTCAAGGGAGTACCATTTTAATCCTTTTCATTTTAAAATGGTGGAATCTATTTCATTCCATAAACTATCATATAATTCAGTGGAATGAAGTCACGACGAAAAATCCATTTCCGTGTTCTGCTGCCGGCACAGAAAAACGGCTGCTTTCGTTTTTGTACTCAATCAGATTCTGTGTTTATAGACCCATTTCCAACTATCATCTTGCTATAGTTCTTCTGCTGCTCCTTCTTGAAAGTGTCTTTGACTTTGGCTCTCTTCAGACCTCCGTCCCTGAAAACATAAAACAGAGACACAGCGGAATCATCCACTTAGAAGGGTTTAGGTCAGTGGTGGGGAACCTGCAGCCAAGGCCCTCTAGGTCCTCAAGTGCAGTCAAAGGGCCACATCTGAGGACAGGGCCATGTACGGCCTCGAGGCTACTGGTTCACCACCCCTGAAATTTAGATACTGTATCTTTAAATTATACAAATGCCACCAATATACATTCATAGAGAGAATTCCACACCAATGAAATCATAGGCATGTACCCAAAAAAAGCACTTGACATTATCCACAAGCTAGGAAGGTGTGGTCTAGCTCCACAGAAGGAAATCATCTGCGTGTGTCACTGACCAACAGAATAAAAATCAGGGGCAATACTAAAAATAGTAAAAAAAGATACTTTATCTTATTAATAAAGACAAATATAACTATTTCACTGACTACTATTTACATGAAGGAGATATATTATGGGTCCTAGTCAATTAGGTCTGTCTATAAGTCTGAGAGTTAAAAGCAGAATACTTGTATTAGAAAAGAAAAATAAAATCAGTAACATGTAGACTTACCACAGCTAACAATTGTTAAATTACCCTATATTCTTTATACCACTTGTTTAACAATGAATTATTTATTTATTGCCTTGTGCTTTTTGTTTTTTTAAGAAATGTGGTCTCTGATAGAGCTTCAGCCTTGGCGTCAGGAGGCCCTGAGTTCAACTCTGGCCTCAGACATTTGACACCCACTAGCTGTGTGACCCTGGGCAAGTCGCTTAACCCCAATTATCTCACCAAAAAAATAAAAAAAAAGAATGAAGAAATGTGGTCTCTCAACTGACATGGCTGGGTGGCAGACCTTGAGAATCCCAGATGCTCCACAAACACTCTAGGAAAGCTGTAAAAATTCAGAGAAAAGGAGACAGAAAAAAGGGCTGAGGCCAAAACCAGAGAGTTGAGGTGCTGAGAGGCTTGGTCAAAACCCAGAAATTCCTATAGGGGGTGGGGTCTGGTCTTAGCCACTACATCCATGACTAAGTAGGGCTCCACACAATTATCTAAGACTATGAGAGGGAACACAGTATGACCAAAAAACCAAGCATTAATCCAGAAACTGAGATATCCGCAAACAGAAGAAAACACCAAACACCAAATACAACGAGATGCTTTGGATTGAGAGAAATTCGAGAGGTAAACCCAGAAGTGAGCAACCACATAAATCCAACAGAGTCACGGAAAAAAGAATGACCTGGTCACAAGAGCTATAAAAGTACATACCTGGAAGAAATTAATCAAGATGAATGGGAAGACAACCCAGAAAAGTTCTAAAAATGCACCAAAAAGGAGCAACAAAAATGAAAATCAAAGAAAAACAGCGATAAACTCCTCCATTTAGTCCAAGATTGCGAAAAGTGGACAAAAAGTCTTCTTCAGAAGCTGAAGGTGGAGATAAATCTGAGAAGGAATAAGAAGAAAAAGCACAGATCCAAACCAAGAGTTGAGGCCAGACCACGGCCCAGGTAGGTCAGAGCCCATGCAGCTCAGCAATTAGACAACCCATCAGAGACACAGGAGGAGGCGGGGCCAATGGGCATCCAGACAACACAGCGCCTAGAATCCAGGTAGCAGTAAGAGAGATGCAGCATCAACAGACACAGAAGGAGGCGGGGTCAGATGGACAATGACCCCCACATCACACCAGAGAACAGGGCCAGACAGCACCAAGGCCGCCCACACCTGAGCCACAGCAAATGAAAGGGACAGGAAAGAATCTGTAAAACACAGCGCACAGAGTCTCCCAAGAGGCCTGTGATCAGCATGATCAATACTTGGGTAGGATTTAGGTTCTCAGCAAGGAACAAAGCTAACTTTGGGGCCAGAGCTATACAAAGCAGAGACAAAGAAGGACTCAAGGTCAAAACTAAGGAGAGGCACTAGGCACCAGGAAGCCGAGTCAAAATTCAGAAATTCCTGCAGACGGTACGGATTGGTCTTCGCCACCGCATCCAAGACCAAACAGCATCTACCCACACAATCCAAGGGTATGGAAAGAAGCAGCAGATGATCCAAATTCAAAGCCCCATCCAGAAAATAAGGCTGCCAGATAGGAGCAAACTGAAGATATCACCCAATACGTTGAAGAAATATACTAGGCTGAGAAAAACTCAAGAGGTAAATCCAGAAGAGAGTAACTCTACAACAAATCCAAAGACAGCATCAGGAGGATGGGAGCAGGAGGGAGAGATGATACACACTCCCTTTAATGAAATAAAAGACTTCCAAGAATTCCTAACGATAAAGCCAGAACATAGCAGTATGTTTGAAATGTAAAATGTAAACATGAGAATCAAGAGAATCAAAGTCAATAAGCTTATAAATAGTAAGGAACTATATGAGAGGAATTGTTTATATTTTAAAAGAATGCAAGTCCCTGAACCCCACTGCCTAGCCCCCCCCGCAAATAAAGGGAGAGTAAGATAAAGCATGGATTAAAAGGAAATGTTGAGTAAAAACATTTGATGGGGGCACAAAACAGATACAGGCTGCTTCAATTATGGATCACTAATGTTAAACTTTTTTACCACTTTCTTCTTTATAAAAAAAAAAAAGTGGGAAGCAAAGACAGAAAAAGTACAAGAGGACAGGATGAAGGGATATGCACAGTTAATAATGTGAATGTGAACAGGGTGAACTCACCCAGAAAATGCAAAAAGACTGCAGAATAAATTAGAAAATGGAAACCAACAAGATTTTGCTTATAGGAAACACATTTGCAATGTAAAAATTCACACAGCAGAATCTATTATGCAGATTATCCATTAGATTGTAAACTCCCTGAGGGTACAGACTTCTGTTTTCCTCTTTTTGTATTCCCAGTTCTTAGCACAGTGCCTGGCATATAGTAAATGTGATAAACATAGATAAATGCCTGTTCTCTATCCACCTACCTAGATGGGCCAATAATGATTCTACAATCCATTTCTGCTTTATAAGTTTAGTAACAGTCAATTAGGAAAGCTAGAGGAAACTGGGTTATTCATAAATACACCAAGGAAGGCAGGCCTAATATGCTTAATCTATACTTTACATATTCAATTTTAATCCAGCAGGCACTATGAAGTATCAATGTTTAGCAAAAATCCAATTTTTTTAATGTATTTGGGATTCTATGACATATGCAAAACAAAGAATGTGGACTAGAACAAAAAGCTACTTTACAGCAATTTCTAGGCCCCCTTTATAGGAAGGATTATAGGCAATGCCCAACATAGGACCGTACATGCAAAAGTATTAGTTTATGTGCAACTTAGAACATATTCTTCCACAGAAATAATGTCATAAATGGTATTTAAGTACCCAACCCAGATCACAAAATCCTACTTAATAAATTCAAAACGTAGCTAAATGGTATTAGCCTAAATTTTGGTTCATGAGAAGGATGGATCATGGAAATGTAGGAATAAGCTTCTTGTCTGGCTTAAGAGACGTGAAGTCAAATTTTAAAATCAAGGAAATGTCTTTGGCTCTCTGCACCTCCTTCCCACTTCTTAATATTTCCTCTTCTCCCTTGGCTCCAACAACCCTCATGTTGACCTACTCCTTCTACTCAGGCCTACACTATCTTCTTGCTAACAATCCCAAATTATCCACTTTCACCTTACTCAAAAATCAGTAACCCCCCTAGAGATAGTTTGCATTTAGAAAAGTGGATATTGTTTGGCAGAAATTAATCTCTTCTAAGTTGAATTTCAGCTAGCATTAAAAAAAAATTTCCATAATATTTCAGGCAACATAACTACAAATATCCTTAAATAAACCAGATATATGTCTAGGAATTTTCCCTTCAGCATCAGATCTCCTATGCAATTCCTAGTTTTCATTTTTCTTTTTTCCTGAACCCAAAGACTTTCAAATAATAATAGCAACAGCTGATGCTTTTATAGGTTTACTTCTTTCTTTACAGCACGCCTCTATGAGATAGTTTGTGTAAGTATTATTATGTCCATTTCATAGATGAGGAAACTAAGAGCTAGTCAGAGAGGTTATATCATTTACTTGAAGTCACGAAGATACTTGAGCAGCACAGTTAGGATCTGAACCTGACTCTAGTGCCTTTTCATATTCACCACACTACAATCACTCCTAGAGGGTAGAGGGGCATCTGGCTAGGGTGGATAAAGGCAGCTTCTATTTTGATAGATGGATCATTTGTAAGTCAAGTTATTTACGAGTTATTACAAGTTAAGTCAAGTTGAGCACCGCTGGTATTTGTAGCCCCAGACACAGTCCTTCCAAAGATGGCAGGGGGTATGGTAGAAACAATAATGAACTTAGAGCCAGAAAACCTGGGTTTTCTTGGTTTTAACCCTCACTACCCACGGGACCTTGGGCAAATCCTTAAACCTCTGAGGACCCCTGTTTCTTGATCTGTAAAATGAGGGGGTCGAATTAACATTTATTTGAGGGGGTTGAACTAAGAATTAATCTCTAAGGTCCTTTCTAGTCCCAAATCCTATAATTCTAGGACATTTGGAAAAAAAAAAAGAGAAAGATTGGTCATACAATTCTGATTTTAATCAAAGCCATTAATTGCTTTTATTAAAAGTAACTTTAATTAAAGCATGATTCTCCCTAAATAAATTCCCAGGGAACTATGATTTCTTCATACCCTATAATGATACAGATTATAACCAACCCATCTTCTTGAACTGCTGTGAAGAAAAAAAAAATTATTTCCTGATACAAATCAGGCTTCTGCGCTGGGCTGGTACTGAGAGGACATATATATTCTGTTGAAGGAGTCCACTTGAAAGCTTTCCAAAATTGGTAGGGGGCTGCATATAAAGTGATCCACTAGTACAATCTTCAAAAATTCAGGGTTCACATTAGCCTATCTGAAGCCTTGGCACAAGAATCTAGGAGATGGCCCAAAGAAAGAACTTAAATGTTTTAGAATGCTCCTAGACAACTATATATCTTACCAAGGAAGCTCAGTCAATCCTCCTTGCACGGCAATAGCAGACTTAACCCTATTTGCAAACTGTACTGCATCTTCATTTGCCTGTAAGGGAAGGTCAATGGTTAAATCTCTGAAAGGATTATTCCACAAGATTTCTTTAGAGTGAACTATTACACAGCTGTTGTTAAAGAAGTCAACGTCATAATTTATCCTGGGTCAGCCATAGAAAATGCCCTATCTCCAATCATAGACATATATATGCTAGATATAAGCATCCATTCACCTTTTATCTTATTTAGATACGTAATAAAGTTGCAGGAGAAAGAGCTAGCTATAGGAAAGTGACTAATTTTCATTTATGGTCTTAGACAAGGTACAACTTTCAATAATAGGTCCATAGGTCAATGAAGTTAAGAGTTCTCACAAAACTTTCCTATCTCCAAATGGCTCAAAACGTCACAGTCTGATTTTATTGGGCTGTAGCTAAACCATCATTAAAACATGGAGTTTGAACTGCTGAGAATGCATCTGAGTCATGCAACTTTGGCAAACAGGTCCATCCAGGTTTCTCAGAGTTAATCTGGTCAGAGTAGCAAAGATCAAACATTATCTAGACCCTACCTCTCTGGTCATTGGAGGCAGGTACCACACATCACAGACTATAGCCCAGCTGGTCATTACTCGAAGCAAGTAGCTCACCATGCTGTATTTACTACTGTTCCAAAAAGCATCACCAAACTGAGGGTTATACTGCAAAAGAGAATGACAAAATGTAGTCTTGTATACTTCTGAGCAAATTCTAATTCCCTCATACTTCTGGGGAAGGCAGCCAAAACCTTCCACCTGACCTCACCAACTATTTATATGCACAACCCAATCTATTCAGCAATTTGAATTGCTAGGGTTGCAAAAGAACTCTGAATAAGAGGCCAAAAAAATATAAAGTTTATTTTTCTAAAAAGAGCTACCAAAAACCTAGTCCAAGCTGACACCTTCATTTGTTTGCAGAGTGGGGAACCTGCACAGCCTCTGTATGTGGCCTTCTAGGCCCTCAAGTGCAGCCCTGATTCAGAAAGGATTGTCAAAGGGCCGTACTTGAGGACACAGAGGGCCACATGTGGCCTCGAGGCTGCAGGTTCCCCACCCCTGGTGATTTAGAGCATAATCCTAATGAGGTCAAGATTGCAAGCTGGGTCTGGATAAACCACCTGACTTCCCAAAGTAAAAACGTTCTATTTCTAAGCCACAGACAGACCACAAAACTCAGCTAGCTGTTTTTGCTGATTTCTGCTATTCCCTATAAAGTAGAATGGTCCTCAGATAAGAATGTATGGTTGGCTTCATTTAAACCATTACCACTAGTGAGAAACACAAGTTTAGAGGCCCTTTTGAAAGAATCAGGAACATTACTTTTCACATACAAAGCACAGCATAATCACTCTAGTAAAACTGTAGCAAAGGAAATGGATCATTTTCACATAATGATGTTTTTTCAGAAATACCAATTTCATTTAAAAAGTGGTATATAATGTACCTTTATTGCAACTGGATATATAGTTCCTCCTATTTCAAAACTTCCCTTTTTAAACATCATGACTGAGGTGTTGTTTATACAAGTTCCTAGTCAAATAAACACAAGAAAAGAATTTAAAAATTACTCCTGCTTTTAAGCAAAGTTACCCAAGTATTTCCTGGAAAGTGAATTTTGTTCAAGACACGCACACATTATACACTGCCATAGCCATATAAGTCAAGTCTTGTCTAAAAAGCACAGCAACCAGAAGCAACATTTCTTGTACATTTGAGCTATTTCAGCATCATAATGAATTATACTAATTCAAAACAAAAAAAGCACCAAAAATCCAAAAGTAACCCATCTGGCACAAACTACATTTTCTATACCATTAAATTAAGGAAACTTAAAAAGGTCAGAAGCCAGCATCCTTCAAGAACTCTTAAGAAACACTCAGCAAGCCAAGGAAGATGTGAGATCCCATGGAAGGAACATAACCAGAACAGACGTGGGTGAGAAAGTAGGAAAGCAGCCGTTCCCACACGTTCAGAGATGTAAGTTGTGAGAATTCCCAAAAGGAAATTTCCCAATGGTCCCAGACCTCTATTTTTCCTCCCTATTTTTACTCAGTCCTTAAGTAAACAACAGTAGGTAATCCTTGTTCTTACCTTCAGGAAAAATTAAAATGGGCAATTTCTTCTTATCAGCAATGTGTTCCCTCAGTCTGAGAAGAAAAACAAAAATCAAACTGTTGCGAAGGATTTTCTATATTCTTTGGAAGAGTACGAGAAAATAAAGGAAAAATGCGAAGATATAAGTCAAACAGATCACAAAAGAAGCAATGTCTTTCCTAAACAAACACAAAATAGCCTGGGCTATTTGTACACTGTAACCTCCTGAGATCTACTTTTACTGAATCCTCTACTGATGTGGCAGAAAACCATGGACTGAGAAACACTGAGGAATTAGAACCAACAAAGAGGAAACAAAACGATCATTTGTTTGCAGATTATTACTCTCTCCCTCTTTCTTTAATAGCCACAATTTTATTCTCCTTTCCACAACTGACATCAGTTATCCCATTTTCTTTCATTGTTTTTATATTTGTCTTCCCACCTGAGAGTCTATTGTAGTAAAATATGGGCAAGATAGAGATGGTCTCCATACCGAATACCCATTATCTCAATGACATTTTATAAACCATGAATAATTCTTTCTTTATCAATGTGCTAGTTCTGGTTTGAGTTTGTTGCTTCTCTCTCTCTCTCTCTCTCTCTCTCTCTCTCTCTCTCTCAATGCCCTACATATCAGATGGATAGACAGAGGTGAATATCTATTTATAGATAAATTTACATATCAATACGCATCCATTTATAAATAGTTCTGTTCTTAACCTGATAAGTAGAAATGCAGAGAATCTTTCATAATCTCCTAAGAAAAGTCCACCATTATTATGCATTGATGTCTTTACATAGGTCATTTCCGGGAAGTAATGGGGAGTCTCCTCCTTAGCTTACCTTCTAAGAAAGAAAAGCAATTAAACCCAATACAGTGACAATGTATATAACTTTCTGCCCAAGTAGGCCCTCTGTCTCTCTCTTTCTTATTTTATGATTTATTGGAGGTTAAACTATCTTCACAATCCATCTACCTTCCAATCACCTGTCTACCCTCCCCATCTGTCCAGATACTACATACCTGTTGCTCCTTTTGTTAAAAGCACAACAAGTAAATCAATACTCTCATTCCTTCTAGCAGCTAGATGGCACAGTGGAGAACACTGGGTGGGCTGGGCCAGGAATCAGGAAGAGTTCAAATCTGACCTCAGACACTTACTAGCTGTATGACCCTGGGCAAGCCACTTTAACTCCTGTTTGCCTCAGTTTCCTCAACTGTCAAATGGGGATAATAGTATCTGCCTCCCAGGGCTGTGAGGATCAAATGAGATCATAATTTTAAAAAGCTTGGCACAGTGCCTAGCACGTGGTAGGAACTTAATAAATGTATGTTTCCTTCCTTTCTTCAAGAAAGAACATGTAAATCAACTGCCCAAAAGATCAGATCAGATCTCACTGTCTTTCTGACTCTCTGGACCAAAATTCCCATCCCGGGCCACCACTTCCTCTATATCCTTAATTCTCCTTCCCTCATCCCTCCCAACACAATTAGGATAAAAAAAAGATACTTGTAACAAAAACGCATAGTTACACAAATTCTTCTACATTGGCCATGTCCAAAAATGTATGTCTTATTCTGTATCTTGAGACCGTCACTATTCTATCGGGAGGTAGGCAGCACACTTCATCATTGGTTATTACACCAATCAGAGTTCTTTACATGGTTGTTATATCAATTGTGCTGGTTCTATTAAATTCCCTCTGTATCATTTCATACTACTCTTCCTAGTTTTCTCTGACTCTGTCGCTTTTCTTTGTCTTACAACACAATAAATTCCCATTACATCCATATGCCCCTTGGTTTCCACTTTTTTGCCATTATGAAAAAAAGTTGTTCTTTATAAATCTTCATATTAGGTCAGTAGGTGGTGCAGTGGATAGAGCACTGGCCTGGAGTCAAAAGGACCTGAGTTCAAATCTGGCCTCAGACATTGATTACTCTGTGACCTTAGGCAAGTCACTTGACCCTGACTCCTCCTAGATAGGCAGACAGACAGCCGGAAGTATATGTTCTATGCATATGCCTTCTCTTTTTCGTATGGCTGCCATTAACTCTTATCAGGACTATTCTTAATTGAACTCCCAATTCCTATTCTCTCCTTTCCCCACAGTGGCCAAAATCATCCTCCTAAAGCACGTGTCTAACCATGTCTCTCTCCTGGTCACTGACCACACCACCTTCCTGCTCCAGAATCTTTGGTGGCTACTCATTGTCACAGAGAGAAGAAGAAAACTCTTCTGTTTGTCCTATGATGCTCTTCACAGTCAGAATCTGGCTCGCAGCCTTCCTTCCTGAGTTACTTCCTATTACGTCCCTTGACATACTATGCTCTGGGCAAACTGTCCTGCTGGGTGTTCTTTGTCCTGTGACCTTGGGGAACTCATCTAATTTCTCTGATCCTTCACCTCTTTATCTCTCCAGACCTATGATGTTACTGGTGTCAGCAAGAAAATCCTTTCTAACAAGTTGTGGTATATGACTGTGATGGAATACTACTGTGCTATAAGAAATGATGAGCTCAACGCTTTCGGAAAAAACATGGAAAGACTTGCACAAAATAATGAAGAGCGAAATGAACAGAACCATGAGAATACTGTATACAGTAACAGCAATATTATTTTAAGAACTTTGAGTGAATTAAGTTATTTTGACTATTATCAATACCCAAATTAACTCTAAAGGAAGAAAGAAGCTATCTGCATCCAAAGAAAGAACTGATAAATATAAGTATGTAGAGAATAATTTTACACACACACACACACACATCCATTTGTGTCTAATGGTGACCATCTCCAGGATGGGGCAGGGGAGGGAAGAAAGGGGAAAAAAAGAAATTTACATGATAACTTTGTTATATATTTAAAAAGAAAAGCAAGTTGTACATAGATGTGTAGTTTCATGTGCAATCATCTTTTTTATACTATGTTACAAATGCTTGTTTTAGTCTATAAATAAAAACTTTTTTTTAAAAAAATAAAAAAACCTCTGACTTTATTCTACAATTTATTATCTTGGGAGAGGTACGCTCATATGTACAATAGGGATAACAATAATAATACCTTCCTCCCAGGGCGACTGTGAGGATCAGATAGAGGTAGTGTATGTAAAGTCTTTGTGGGCCATAGAGTACTACATAAATGTTAGCTTTATTGTTATTAATGTTACTATATCTTATATATAATATTATGATTAATGATCTCAGCTTCCATGAGATCAGTTACCATCCCTTTGCAGGTGACTCCCAGATGGATACATCTAGCCCTAATCTTTCTACTGAGCTCCAGCCGTCATCACTAGCTTTCGGCTGGATATTTCTCACTGAAATTTCTCTAAGTTTCTCAAATGCAAAATGTCCTGAGAGAGACAGCATGGCATAGTGAGTATATGGCACTGGACCTGTAGAACTTCTTCAGACAATTACTAGTCATATGACCCTGGGTAAGTCACTTAACCCTATGGAGACTCAATTTCTTCATGGGCAAATTGGGGAAGAGGATTTGAACCTTATGAGCCATCTCCAACCCATTCCTTCTCTCACCTTCTGCATTTCTGTTAGGGCCCCACCATTATCCTATTTACCCAGTGCCTAAGAATCAATTAGAACTTAAGTACCTTGAGAGCAGAGATGATTTGGTTTTGTTTTTGGTGGGGTTTTTTTGCTTGTATCTGTATCCTCTATGCTTAGTACAGTGCCTGGCACACAGTAAGTACTTAACAAATCCTACTGCTTGCCTGATTAAATATGATAAGAGAGAGGGAGGAAATGAAGACGATGCTTAGGTCCTGAGCTTGAGGACACATCTTCTAATTCTCTAAGAATAAAAGGAGTTTTCTCACTAGGAGTTATTGACTCCTTAATAATATCACGGATCTGGAGAGAAAGATCAGAGAAGTTAGGTTACTTGCTCAAGATAACACAGCAAGCATCTGGGGTAGGCTGTAAGCCTTCCTTACTCAAATTCCAACACTCAACCCACTATACCATATTGCTTCTTCCACTCATAATGGTACATGGGAACAGAAGATAGCCCTGGACAGAGCCTTGGGGGAACCCCAGAGTTATGAGCTGAGATGTAGATATAGCAATAGAGACTGAAAAGTCTCAGGAGCAGTGTTGAAAAAGGTAAGGGGAAAAAAGGGGAGTCAAACAGTGTCTGAAGCTACAGAAAGGCCAAGAAGAATGAGGACCAAGGGATAAAAATGATCAGATCTAATAATGAAAAGATCCTTGATAACCTTGAAGGGAGCAGTTTCCACCGCATGGAGAGGCTTGAAAGCCAGACTGCAAGGGGCTAAGAAGTAAGTAGGAGGAGTGAAAACAACAGAAGGCTTTTTCTGGAAGTCTGGCTGAGAAAGGGAGTAGAGAGGATAACAGCTTCCTCTTTCCGTTAATTATTCTTGCCACCTAGGTGCTAGATGGGCCACGTGTGGCCTGTACTTGCAACAAGGGAAGGTTCAACACGCTTCCGCATCCATCCCTGTCTAAACACAGACTTGAACTCAAGTACCCTCTCTCCTTGAAGAAAAAGAACATGATCAGGCAGCATGGTGTAGGGGATAGAGTAGTGAAGATGGAGTCAGGAAGACCTGGGTTCTAGTCCTGCCTCGGATACTTACTAACTGTGTGACTCTGGGTAAGTCACTTAATATCTCTATGCCTCAGTTTGCTCATCTATAAAATAATTTTGATGATCTGTAAGATCCCTTCCACCTCTAAACCATGATACCATAAAGCTATGAGACGATGCTAAGTGGTGGTGTCAAAGGGATGCCTACAATGTACTTGACAAATGTTCAGTCATCCAGCCTGCCTGATGACATCCAGTGAGAGAGAAACCAATACCACGCAAAGTACTTTGGTCCAGAAAGCTCAGTGGGTAGGAAGTTTCTCCAAACATTAAGCCTAAATCTGCCTCTGAAGATTCACTCAATTATATCACATCCCTCCCAATTCTTCTCTTCTTCAGATTAAACATCTCCAGTTCCTTCATCAACTTCCTAGTGGATATTTCTACTTGGATGTTCCATAGTTATCTCAAACTCATCAGGTCCAAAAGACAGCCTATTATCTTTCCCTCCAAACTCAGTCCTCTTCCAAAGTTCTCTAAGGTACCACTACCTTTTCAGTCACCCAGGTTCATATTGATTCCTTTACCTCTCTCCCAAACCCTCTGCTATTTGGTTTCCAACCTCACTACTGACTTGAAGCCGCTCTTTTCCACATTACCAGCTACTGGCAAATCCAATGGCCTTTCCTCAAGTCGTATCTTTCTTGAGTTCTCAGTAGCATTTCACGTTGGCGATCATCTTCTCCTTCGGAATGTTTCCTCTTCTTCAGGTTTTCTCTTGTTTCATTGTTCTTTCCTGCTTCTCCTCTCACCTGTTTAACCATAACTTCTCAATCTTTTTTGCTGACTCTTCATCCAATTCATGCTCTTTAAGTGTGGGCGTGCCCCAGGGTTCCGTCCTGGGCCTTCTTCTATCCTCTCCCTATAATCCCACTTGGTAAGAGCATCAGCTTGAATGGCTTCAATTATCTCCTCTATGTAGATTTCTGGATCTACAGAACAGTCCTAGTTTCTCTTCTGAGTTCCAGACCCACATCAACAATGGATAGTTCAAACTGGATGACCCACAGGCACCTCAAACTCAACACATTCCATAGAGAACTCATTATCTTTCCCCTCAAATCTACCCCTCTTCTGAACCTCCCCATCACTGCCAAGGGTCCCACCCCCAAAGGCTGTATAGGAGAATGGAAAGAACACTCAATTTTGAGTCCAAGCTTTGCTACTTTCTTCCTGTGTAACCCTGAGCAAGTTATTTAATCTCTCTGGCCTCTCAGCTCAAATGTAAAATGGTGGTTTTACACCTCTTACGGTCCTTTTCAGCTCTACATCTGTAATCCTGTGTCCATTCTTCTAGACACACAAGTTCACAATCTCATCTTCAACCTCTACTCACCCTTCCTCCCCTTATGTATCCATTATATGGATATGCTGTATCTTAAGAAATAAGTTTAGGGACAGACAGTGACACTAACAAGCATCTGTTCAGTTATTTTCAGTTGTGTCCAAGTCTTGGTGACCCCATTTGGGGTTTTCTTGGCAAAGATACTCAAGTGGTTTGCTATTTCCTTTTCCAGTTCATTTTACAGATGAGGAAACTGAGGCAAACAAGGTCAAATGACTTTCCCTGGTATACACAGCAAGTAAGTGTCCAAGGCCAAATTTGAACTCACAAAGAGGTCCAACACTCTATGCACTACGGTGCCACCTAGCTGCCCTACATGCATTACTTGAATTCATCTAGCAATAGCTTTATGAGCAAAGTAGAATTGAAAGAGCTCAAAAGAAACGTAGGACGTGCATATTTGGAGAACCCACTCTAGATGTTCACACGGACTATTTGTGCCCAGCCTGTGGTAGAACATTCTGAGCTCATACTGGTCGGATGCATTATAACCTGACTCTAACATAGGGGTGTCATTTTGGTGCTCTTTGAAAACAAAGGACAATAACCAACCAACAGCCAGGGCCAAAATGTTACAGTGACCAGCAACTAATTGGGAAAAAATAAAGAAAAGTAAGGGAAGCATGTAAAATTGGTTAGGCCTTTATTGGGATATACTTTCAAATCCATGACCCTATGAGCATTCACTATGACAGTGACTCACTGCTCATTTTTGTGAAGAATGCTGTTTTTAACATACAGCATTTGCAAGGGAAAATTAGAAACTCTGATCATATGCCCTGAGAGAGTTTATGTTATACAACCTGTTGTTCAGGCATTCAGATGCATCCAACTCTTTGTGACTCCACATGGGGTTTTCTTGGCAAAGATACTGGAGTGATTTACTATTTCCTTCTCCAGTAGATTAAGGCAAACGGATTAAGTGGCTTGCCCAGGATCACATAGCTAGTGAATGTCTGAGGCCATATTTGAACGTGGGTCTTCCTAACTCTAGGCCCAGTATCCACTATGCCACCTGGCTGCCTCTATACTAACTGTACCCTTGCCGTTTTACAACATTAATTTTGGGGAAAGATGAAAAAGCAAAAAAAAAAAAAGAGTAGGAAGCTGTGCAATTGATACAGCTAACTCAGTGATGTCTGTTGAGAACCAAATGCATTTAAGCTATAGAGTAGGCACTATGCTACCGTCAAGAGTGAATGAGGATCTGGATTTTTAAAACCTTAATCTGCTAGGGAGAAAGTTAAAAACAAAAAACCTTACTCCCCCCATCCTTCCCAGTCTTCTTACACCTTACACTTCCCCCACAGATCCTGTGATCCAATGGCACTGATCTTGTTGCAATTCCTCAAATAAGACACTCCATCTCCTGACTCTCAGCAATGTCACTGGCTGTCTCCCACGCCTGGAACGCTCTTTGCCCTCATCTCCACCCCATGGCTTTCCTTGCTTCCATCAAGACTCAGCAAAAGTCCAATCTTCTGAAAGAAGCCTTTCTTCATCTTCCTTAATCTTAAGATGTTTCCTCTGAGATTATCTCAAATTTATCCCGTATGGAACCTGACTCATTTATACATGCATGGTTTTTCCCCCCTTTCATTATGACTGTGGCATATAGCATAGTGTCTGAAACACATTAGGCGCTTAAAAAATGCATGCAGACTTGTTGACAAGTAATAAAACTTTATCTCAACAATTTCTAGCAAATAGATCTCTCTCTCTCACACACACACACACACACACACACAGACCTATCCCATTGGTTATCTACCTATCTAGCCTTTTAGAAAGAAGGAGCTATTAGGACCATAGTTCTAACCTTTAGCAACTATAACCCTCTTAGAAGCAAAGTTCAACGTTTACTGCTGCAACCAAGAGTATTTCTTACCTTTCGGTCACCAGATGTCGGTCCTTCATTTCTGAACGTTCAAACCACACGTGTGGACAAGCCTTAACCATGGCCCTTTGAATGACTCCCATCAGTCCACCGTGAACCTGACCAACCTACAATCCATAATTACATCAGTACAAAATAAACAAAACCACAAAGACCTATCAATAGAAGCCTTTTAGTAAGTAGTTAAAGTTTACCGCACCGTCCTACAGAGATCACAGTTTGGTCTACAACCTATTCTGGTAGAGGAAGGGCTATTGGCAAAAAATGGTCTAATGTAAATATATACACACTTATACACTACATATACATATATATTATGTGTGTGTGTGTATACTTATTTATTTATAAAGAAAAAAATGAAACAAAATTCTAAATACCAAAGTTTGGATTCAGTAAAAGGGCTGCACTTGAGGGCCTAGAGGACTACATGTGGCCCCAAGGCTACAGGTTCCCCACCCCTGGGTTAGAAGATCTGAATTTGAATCCAGCTGAAGCAAGTCAGTTCTATGAACTTTAGTTTCCTCATCTATAAAATGAGAGGTTGTCCTATGTGATCTCCTGAGTCTCCTCCAACTCTAGTGCTCTGACCCCATGTGATTCTCCAACATGGTGCATGGATCCTCCATGGAGAGTTTAACAGTATTAGAAGGCATGAAAATACTGATCTGAGGACTGGTAGAGGGAAGACCCACAATGATAATCCCAGAGATCCCAATAATGTCGTGCCAAGGAGTGTGTTCGGTGCAGGGAGTAAGGGGGAGAAAGAAAGATACAAAAATAGTTATGGCACTATTTGTGCTCTCATGAAGCTTATATCTAAATGGTTTTTATAACTGCCCTACCAATTAAAACAATTCAGATTTTAGAATAACTATATTTATGTGAACCTTGGCTTAATGGTTATGTTTTATTGTTAAGTATGTCCTTGATGTACCTATCAGAACCTATGAGGACCACCAATATTTAAAAAAAATAATTCAGAGTCATGTTGAGTTAATTGTACTCAATAAGAATGGCCTGATTTGGAACCATACCTACCCTCAACAACCCCAGCTTGCCAAAAACGTGCAGGAAACATAGTAGGTGCTTAATAAATGCTTACTGCCTACTGATGAATAATACTATGTGAGCATCAATTTGGGAACTGGATCTACACGTGTACTTTTGCAGCTAGCTAGTAGTAAGATGATGCTTTATTTATCTGCTTGGATCACCACTTAGTGACTGCAACTAATATACATACAGAAAAATGTTGGTGTGTAATTTTAAGAAAATTATTGCTATCGACACACCTTTGCAGGAAGTATCTGGTTTTATGATTTTTTTGTCTTTTGCATGAATTATCAGTCTTTGCAAAGGGCCTTGGTAGAAAAAATAAAATTTGTAAGTCTAAAAACTTGACTCTTCAAAAATTAAGGATGATTTAAATATAGTTTTGCCTGATGGCAAAGACATGCCATTAACCTAACTCAAAGCCACTATGAGTTGAGTCAATATCCAGATCTACAAATGTGGCATCCATACATGAAAATTAACGTTCTAACGAGTCAAAAGCAATGTATCTGAATCATTCACTGGTACGCGACTTAGCAGTGGGTTGCTCTTACCATGGCATAGCATCCATCAGTCGTCAAGATCAGAACATCTATTGGGGAGGTATGGTTGGCAACACAAATGCCTCCTTTCTGTGGTCGGTACTGCCTGCGATTACAAAAAAAAAAAAAAATGACCACCAACCCTTCTAAGAGAAAGGTACCACCAGATCAGTCTAATGAAAACTTAAGGAGAAAAATGATCATTTGAATAAAGACAAAGGCATTTTGCTGAGCACAGCCTGCCCCTAGAATGTCTTAGCAGAGCATGCTCTCAATCAACGAGCATTTATTAAACACCCGCTATCAGAAGTCACCTAGAAGAGAACACAGACAAAAACGAAAGCATCTCTGTCCTCAAAGATCTTCTATTCAAATGACAGATACACCATATATGTAATTAAGCATATATAAAATAAATACACTCGAAGTACAAGGTCATGCATGCTAAGGGGAAAGGCGCTAGCAGCAGAGGGGAATCAGGAAAGCCTTCCAGTCAGAGGTAGCACAAGCTGAGATAAGAGGCCAAGTGAAGAGAGTGTACCATGGCAATGGGAACACCATGATATTGCCAGGTGTTATTACAATTTGCTAAACAGCAATCACCTATTCAGGATAAAGAGTATTGTGAAAGGACCACTTAAAAGAGTCTCAATTTCTATTGGAATGTAGGGGCCTGCTGGCATAAGGATCTCCTTGGATGCTATTTCTTGTCTGTTTGTTTGTTTTTTGGTAAGACAATGGGGGTTAAGCGACTTGCCCAGGGTCACACAGCTAGTAAGTATCAAGTGTCTGAAGCTGGATTTGAAGTTAGGCGCTCCTGACTCCGAGGCCAGACATCTATGCACTGCGCCACTTAGCTGCCCCCAGATGCTATTTCTTCCAGAGCATTTTCTCCAATTCCAAATTCTACAGTTTAAAAGGCAGGCTTAAATATTCAGGCTTAAATACAGAAAGAAACTGTATAACAAGTGGGAAAATTCGCATGCAAGTAACAGTCAAAGTCTGTCCAGCTGCAGGAAAAAAGCTTGACTAGGGGCTGAACAATGCACTTAAATTAAATTTAAAAAATAAATAAATAAATAAAACAACCCACAAAAATTGAATTTCTAGAGAGCTCAAAAACCAAATCCATTTCACTGAGATAAAGACATAGATTAGCAATTTTTGTTTGTTTTCACTCATAAAATTATAGTTGGAATGAACTTTGAAATCATCTAGTCCAACCAACCAACTACAGAGAGTGTAAGTGCTTTTAGATTGTAAGCTCTTTGAGGGCAGAGAATGTTTTTTGCCTTTGTTTGTGTCCCCAACATTTAGCACAGTGCCTGGCACATAGCAAGTGCTTAATAAATGTTTACTGACTGACTGGTTCGCCCAGGGTCATGCAACTAGTTAGTGACAGAGTCAGGATTAAAACCCAGGTCTCCAAACTCTCCGTATGATACTCTTTCTACCACACAATGGAATATATTGACTCTATTGTTTTAAAAACTTTGGTAGGGCCCATTAATGTTCAGTTGAGACTTGACCATTAACAAATGCTTCTCATATGTAAAGTACTGCTCTATGATATTATCATGTTACTCTCAAGAAGAATATTCACATTCCATCAGACTCCTTTCTACATGCTTTTAAAACTCAAAGACCAAAGCCCAAGGTTCTTCTTGAGTGCCGTTTTTTGTCCTATAGACCTCTTTTGGTCAAGACTATGGACCCCTTCTCAGAATGATGTTCTTAAATGAAAATGTAGAGGATTAAAAAGGAAAACAATATGCAAAAAACAAAAGTATCAACATATTTTAAAAACCAAGTTCATGGATAGCAGGTTAAGAACCTCTGACCAAGAGAATCCCACCTGAAATTCTCTTGTACTCACTTGTTATGGTAATGAATAGTACCAGAAAGGGATCTAACACAGATCCTGCAGCAAGTCAGGTGGACCAGTTCACTCAGCCAGTTCTTTATACTGTAGGAAGAAAATAACTGAGTGTAAAAATTGAGAATACACTGAAAGACTAGAGTGCAAGTTGTTGTTATTATTTACATTACAAAGAATAATAAATGGTATTGATGCAAGACTCTAAGGTTTGCAAAGTGCTGAACATTACTATACAAAGCACATTACTGAATTTATTGCTCACATCAATCCTGTAAAAATTAGGTACTCTGGGTCTTATTATCCCAATTTCAAGTTCCAGGACGATTTTTTCAAAGCAGTGTGCTTTAGATCTTCATCTAATTCTCTGGCACTCAAAGTATACTGAAGATAATTTAAAATGGGGTGGTGAGAGTTAACAGGAGAAACATTGAGATAGTGACATAGATTGCTTTCCGTTTAAGATGAAAGGAATGGAAAGCTAAGATGACAGAATAAAAGAAAGTACAGAACGCTTCCCCTTGGAAAAAAAAAAACAAAAACTCCCCCACAGAGATATAGAAAACAGGTTAGACCAAATCCTGATCAGAACATCCAAGAAAAAAATCACAGTGAGGCTTTTGTCCAGCCCAGGTCAGCAAAGGAAGACAGACAATGAGGTCTGTGAACACTAGGGATGGGATCTGGTCAGGGGTGTGCCATATGGAGAATTTCTGCCCAGAGAGAAGTTGTGGACCAGGGCAAGAGGAAGTCCCAGAGCCAACACAGAAGCTACTAACTCATACTCAGCTCAGGCACAGGCGCCAACGGGCAGTTCCACCACTGTTCACAGTCACAGATCTAGAGAGGACTGAGGAAAGATTCAGCTCCTAGGGAAGACATTCAAGGGTAGAGATCTGTGAAGGACCCTAGGCTGTGTACCCAGAGAGAAGCAAGCGCAGAAGCAAGCAGCAGCTGTGTGGCTTGGAAAAATCTTCAGACACTGGGTGTGGGGTCCAGCCAGGAGGCCAGGAACATTTTAGCACAGGGAGAGGATGAGCACCAGGCAGGAAGAGGTCCTGGATTCACCACTGAGGGTTGGAGAGAAGGGGGTGCTGACTTCCTGTAGGGTATAGGAACAGGTCCTAGATCTAGGGAAGACTGAGGAGGCAAAGCTGTGATTAGGGGTAGCATTGCAGGGGAAAGAGCAGTCAAGGGTCCTATACTGCACAGACAGAGAAGGGAAGGTTCAGAAGATAGTAGAAAGCGTGTGAGCTGCAGAATCCCATGGGCAGAGCAGGGTCTCACTTCCCATTTCAAGCCCAGTCTGAACCCAGCAGAGGGAATAACCAGGGGAGGAATCCCAGTCCAAAGGGACGTTTATTCTTCTTTCACTCTGAACCAGAACTTTTCAAATGGCAGAAAGTGGCTCAAGCAGTAGCAGCCAAATGAAATTCCAAATGAGGCACGCCCACAGGCCTGCTGCCAAATTCAAACCCAGGGCAGGAACTTGCACAATTCAGAGCAGGGGGCCAGACTGTGCCATGGATCAGATGATTTTGAAAACACTGAAAGTTTGCAGGTCCCCTGCCTGAGCTGCCTTTAAGATACTGTTTGCCTCAGTTTTCTCATCTGTAAAATGGAGAAGGAAATGGCAAACCACTCCAAAAAAGTTTCAAAAGGGGGTCATAATGAGTCAAATAACGACTGAACAACAACTATAAATGAACAGACAGTTTAGAATACAATATTGCAGAAGGTGAAAGACATGGGCTTACAACTAAGAATTAACTTACCCAGCAAAAGTGAGTATAATCCTAGAGGGGGATTTGGAAAATGGAAAAATGAACTTAAATGAAATAGGGAACTTCCAAGCATTCCTGATGAAAAGATCAGAGATATATAGAGACTTTTAAATACAGTCACAAGAGTCAAAAGAACACGAAAAGGTAAAGAAGAATGAATAATCATAACAGACTAAATAAGGAGAAAATGCTTGTATTCTAATATGGGAAGAGGATACATATATCCCTTCTGAACCTCATCATGATCAGACCTCATAGAGGGAGGCTGATTAGATAAAAGACCTGAGAGTGGTTCCGTTACATCTTGATAATCTCAAAAGAATGGAAACGGAGGAAAACAAGAAGTTTGTGGGAAATTATTTTACTAACTGGAGTATGCAAACACCATAGAAGGCTGTACAAACAAGGAGGAAAGGGTGGCCACGAGTGGCACACTTGAACCTTGCTCTTATCTGAAGAAATCAAAGGAGGGAAGAACACGTACACATGGAAATCGTGGGAGAATGGAACTAGAGAGAGGGTAGATTAAGGAAAGGATCAGTCCTAAGCAAAACAAAATCTAAATAAGGATGTACGAACATGTTTATGGCTTGTTGATTTCTTTTGTTGTGACAAAGAACTGGATACTAAGTGGTTGGATGAAAAAGTTACTATATATATATATATATATAAATATATACATGCATGATATAGTATACAGACACACACACACATACACACACACATATTACTAGCTTACTATGGTACTGTAAGAAATGATCAAGGGAATGGTTTCAGAGAAAGCTGGAAAGACTTTTACTAACTGATGCAGAATGAAATCAGCAGAACCAGAACAGCAATGTATACAATAGCAACAATATTGTAGACAAACAATTTTGAAAGATTAGGAAATTTGGAGCAATATGCTGACCACCAGGATTCCAGGGGACTAATGAAGAAACACGTTATCTATTTCCCTTATAAAAAGGTAAAGACTTTTAGAGTGAAGAGCCAGGTTTGTTTGTTTGTTTGTTTGTTTTTAATTTTGCTTGATTGTTTTTCTTTCTTTGTCAACTGAGAAGTAGATGTGGTTATTGGTGCATTACTTACTTTGGCATGTCTGGGTAAGGTGTTTTTTGTTTGATTTTTTTTTTCTTAATGAAATGTTATGAAAGATAATCCTGGAATTCAACTAATTAAAAAAAAATCCATATAAAAACAAACTATAATGTAAAGGGCTAAAAGGTTGGTGGCCCTATCTTCAGAGCTTCCTCATTTTCAAAGATACCCAGGAAACCTAACAAGGAACAAGTGGGGAGAGAGAGGAAAAAAAGGTATATTTTTGCTGATTGAAAAAAATTAATTAAAAAAAAAGATGAAAGGAATGGGAAGATTTAAGTGAGTTGATATCACTAAGTGTATGGAAAAATAATCACATATGTTATGCAGATTCATCTAACAAAAAGTAAGTACTATTTAGGCATGAATGGAAAACAAAACATTTTACCTGCTATTTGGGAGCTGCCCAACCGCAGTAGTTCCTATTACCAGCAAACTAATCCCAAAAAAAGCCAAAGTAATGCTGGAAAACAAGAAGATAATACATGGAAGTTAGTCATGCCCTCCATAAAGGGGCTGCCTGCAGGATCAAAGTGGCTAGTTTGTTATGGATATGGTTACTGGTGCCTTACTTACCTTGGCATGTCTGGGTAAGGTGTTGTTTGATTTTTTTTTCTTAATGAAATGTTACGAAAGATAATCCTGGAATTCAACTGATTAAAAAAATTTCATATAAAAACAAACTATAATGTAAAGGGATAAAAGATTGGTGGCTCTATCTTCAGAGCTATAATAAGACTCATATGCTATTCAATCTAGTGACATTAACAAGATACACCATCTCTTGGCTTCACGCATTTTCTCTGGCCGTCCCCCTATGCCTGTAATGCCCTCCCTTCTCATCTCTGCCTCCTCGCCTCTTTCAAGTCTCAACTAAAATCCCATGTTCTCCAGGAAGCCTTTCTCAACCTCTCTTAATTCTAGTGTCTTCCCAAACAAGTGATAGCTTGTTTGTATATATTTTGTCTCCCCCATTAGATTGGGAGCTCCTTGAGGACAGGTACAGCTCCTTGAGGAGTCTGAGGTCTTTTGCTGTTTTTTTTTTTTTTGTATCTGCAGCATTTAGCATAGTGCCTAGCACATAGTAGGTATTTAATAAATATTTGCCGACTGACATATCTATTGCACTTTCAGATTTAAAAGGCACTTTCTTCCAGGCAAGCCTATAAGGTAAGTGGCACAAATACACCCCCATTTTATTTTATTTTGGCTTTTTGGTGAGGCAATTGGGGTTAAGTGACTTGCCCAGGTGTCACACAGCTAATAAGTGTCAAGTTTCTGGTCTGAGACTGGATTTGAACTCAGGTCCTCCTGACTCCAGGGCCAGTGCTCTATCCACTGTGTCACCTAGCTGCCCCCATCTATTTTACAGATGAGAAAAGCAACTTGTTCTGGGGCACACAGTTAGTCATGCAGAGACTCCAAAATGCTGTATTAGCATATCAGAGGTTCAGAGGTAATTAACATATCACATCTATTCCTTATCTCTCCTTACCAGGGCAAATATAACAGCCTCCTTATTTTTAAAGATACCTAGGAAACCTAACAAGGAAGAACTTAACTCACAGAAAATGTAAAATTAATAGCTTAGGAAGCAAAGACCTAAGCTTTAAAATGTTTCGAAGAAAATGTTTTAATTTTGAAAAATCACTTTGTTTTACAAACCGAAAAAGAAACAAAGGAGTAATTTAACTCAAATTTAAAATTTAAAAACACTACCACCACCCTCAAAGTTTTCTTGATCCTTTTTTCCAGGAGAGCTGGTTACATTGTATAAGATTAAAAAACTGAATGAGCGGAAGAAAGTGACTTGATTACAGAATGAACATTTACCAGATTGAGAAAATGTGGCTCCATTCTAGTGCAACATTGCATAGAATCATCCTCTTCTTGTCTCAGATAAAGGCTAATTTGTTATTTATGCTATGTTTATTTTCTAGTTGGAATAGTAAAATACCACAAATTTATCTTCTACAATAATCTCAGGGGTCAGATGTAGCTACAGCATGCAGCAAAGAGCCTCAAACAGGATATTATCAATCAGTGCTAAAACACTGGCCTTCATGTCTATAATCTGTCAGACTCATTTTCCTACAGACCCATTTGGTTCCTGCTTTTAATTAAGGACAAATAGCAAAAAATGAACTCTTCTGATAAGTGCCCAATGACTATATTCCTCTCCTAAACTTTTTTTTTTTTGTAATATGACTAAGTCAAGCTAGGCCACATATACTTATTGTATTTTCTTCACAGAAACATACAAGCATATTTTTCACAAGACTGGTCTTAAGGGAGATTACTAAAAATCATTAGGAGACTCGGCTAGCAAAGTAATGAAATCTCTGACATATTAAAATGTGACTACAAGTCTTATTTTGTGTGCCTTTAAACAGACCATATGATAAAACAAGTCAATACTGATTGAGAACCATGACTTATCCAACACACTAAGATGTGGTTTATAAAAGAGATCCTCCATAATGTCACCTCATGTTTAAGAGTTAGTGTAACCCCAGTAACGGCAACATTGTGCGATGACCAACTTTGATAGACTTAATTCTTTTCAGCAATGCAGTGATCTAAGACAATTCCAAAAGATTCATGATGGAAAATGTCATCCACACCCAGAGAAAGAACTATGGAGTCTGAATGCAGATGGAAGCAGACTATTTTCTCTCTCTTTTTTTTCTTTCTCGTGGTTTTTCCCCTTTGTTATGATTCTTCTTTCACAACATGACTAATGTGGATATATGTGTACTACAATTGTAAAGGTATAGCCTGTATCAGATTGCAGGCCATCTTGGGGAAGAGGGAGGGGGCGAAATTTAGAACTCAAAATCTTATAAAAGTGAATGCTGAAAACTAAAAATTAATTAATTTTTAAAAAAGAGTTAGTTTAACACTCCCCAAATGCTGTTATTTATCTATTACCTTTTATCTAACATCTAAGACTTTCTCCAAGTACTTCCTTAGTATATACACAAACCCAATGATTTTTAAGGCAATACCACCTCTTAAATAATTATATAAATTCTATAACCCACTGTGTAATGTACTATGTCCTCTTATTAGAACCAAAATACTCCAGCATTAGGTGACCACCAGGATACAGTAAATATATATTAGATATATGAATAGGATTTGATGGAAAAGATATTTACCCTCTTTCAGTTATTACCTCTATCAGCTTCTGACATCTCAGACTAATGTTTTTAGTTTTTAAAACCTATCCTCATATATTAGCCCTTTCGTTTCTGTTGTTCTCTGAATTTGTTCCATCTCTATTATTTCTTCCTTGGGGCGCAAAAACCAGAACTGCAGTGAATCACACAGGTAAGTACAAATATACAATGGTTACCTACATTTTGTTTTATATACGTATACTTACATTTAGCACTGGACACTAAAATTAGATTTCTACCCACCTTCCGTCACTCTCAATTCGTGTTTTTTTTGTCATTAAAAAAACATGTCGGTTAAACATAAGCTAGTTTAATCCACCAGAGTAATACAATTGTGGCTTACCGAAGAGGAAGAAGGAAACAGTAACGTACGATGACTCCCAGCACCCACACCATGGTTAACCGGAGGCTGATATACTGGAAGTTAATATTTGTTCTTGTGAGGAGATTCCAAGACACTAACTCCTCTGAGGAGAATCTCTGAGTCACTTCATCTTCTACGATGGCTTCAAAACCCTTCTTGAAGAAATAGAACACATCAGACAGCTCAAAGTCCCTCCCTCGATGTCCAGACATCCCTTTCTCCATAGGCGACTCATCTCTCTGGATAATACCTGAAAGAGAAAACACCATGGCATAAGGACACATCCTTAGATAAAGGTTCATGATCTAATTTACAGGCATCTACATGTGGACCACACCACATGTAAGTAAATACTGGTGTGTTTAGAGAGGGCTGTTCCGTACTTCACTCACTGACGTGGTTCACTGGTTTTTGAAAATAAAAACCAATTCTCCCCCCGCCCACAAAAAAAAAAAGAAAACAAAAATTTTTAAATTTCAAAAAATAAAAAATGAAAATTAAATTAAATGTAAAATTTTAAAAATCCCTCCAGCCTTATGATGACCTTGTATATGTCAAGTGAAATGACAATTCTCCATAATCCTAACTGCCACAGATTTTTGTAGATTCTTATAGATGAAGAATCCATACTGCAGACTCTTAATTCTAGGTCATAGCTCCAAAACCTCTATTAATATTCCCTTAAAAGGAGGTGCCAGTTGGACAAGGCTCAAAATCTCTGATTCTTTAAAACATCCCCTCCTAACATTGACCCTTCCTTGATCCTTACCCTTCTAGGATTTCCTCCCAGTTATTTCCTCAGCCAGGGTAAAAGGCAGCAGAGATCTCCTTCCCAGAGGAGTAGAAAAAGGTGCCTAGTGGGGACTGTTCGAGCAATACTGGTTATAAATCACAAGGCAAGCAATATAGTTAGGGTGTTAAGGAATGAATGTGGTCCATCCTGCACTGGAGCTAAGTGCCAATAACGGCACTACCTCATGACCATACAATTCTTATGGGTTTATATAGTGTTTTTCTCACAGCAATCCTATAAAGGTGCTACTCCAAATGTTTTTACATTCATTTTACAAAGAAAAAAGAATTCCTTTTCCAAAAATGGAATTGAAGACATCATAAAAAAATTGAATCCCAAAGAAGTTTTCCAACTTGTACAAGATCACCATATGTGTCATACTCCTTTTGTAAATTAAATTTTATTTTTAATTACCAAAAACCCACTTTCTCCCCTCCCAACCCTCAATCCACTCCCAAATGAGAAAGAAAAACAAAGTTGTTACAAACTCGTATAGTCAAGCAAAACAAACAACCTCATTCTTCACTGAGTCTTTCACTTTTCTACCAAGAGATAGACAGTAGCATGGTTCATCATATGTCTTCTGGAATCATAATTGGTCATTATACTGATAGAATTTCTAAGTCTTTCAAAGTTGTTTATCATTACAATATAGGGTGTTCCAAAAGCCTTAGTGCAGTTTTAAGCCTTACTAAGTTAAAATTTCACAAAGACTTTTAAAAGCATCCTTTATTGTAGTCATTTCATAAATTGTTTTCCTGCTTCTGCTCATTCATGTAAGTTTTTCCATTTTTCTCTGAAACCATTCCCCTTCATCATTTCTTACAGTTCAAGAGCAATCCATTATATATTTATAAAGAATTAGACACTTGGGTGCCCATCAATTGGTGAATGGCTGAACAAGTTATAGCATTTATATGCTATGTATACAAGTTATAAATATGTGTGTGTATCCATACACACACACAATACTTACTAGTTCAGCCATCTCCCAATTGATGGGCAACTATTCAGTATACAATTCTTGTCCACAGCAAAAGAAAAGAACAAACTATAAATATTTTTGTACATCTTTACTTAGAATGTTTTACTTAGGATTAATCTCTTCCTCAATCTACATTCTCTCTAACTTCCTTTTCCTTGCTATTTCTGTTGAGTGAAATGTATCTCTTTTGTCAATTCGGGGGTGTGTGTGTGTGTGTGTGTGTGTGTGTGTGTGTGTGTGTGTACACGCTCTTCCCTCCCTTTGATTTGTTGAGATGAGAGTAGCAGCTACTCCTCCTCCCCTCCCTTTTCTCCTAGTTTGTATAGACTTCTATTTGCATAACCCAATTATATGAAATAATTTTCCCCCAACTTCCTCGTTTTCCTTCCCTAGAATATTTATTTCTTCCTTGTCTGCTCCCTTTCCATTCTTCTTTTAAGATCATCCATATAACAGAACCACTCCCTAACCTTCTAGCTCATTAGACTCCCTCTATGAGGGCTGATCATGATTAAGTTCAGAGGGAATATATGTATATCTCCTCATAATAGAAAACAAGCACTTTATCCTCATTTAGTCCTTTATAATTGCTCATTCTTGTTTGCCTTTTTCTATTTCTCTTGACTCTTGTGTTTGCACTTGAAAGTCTCTTCACATCTCTGCTCTTTTCATCAGGAATGCCTGTAAGTCCTATATTTCATTTAAGTTCCATTTTTCCCCTATAGGGGAAAGTTTGCCTTCTGGAATATCATATTCCAAATTCTCTGCTCTTTATGGCTGTTAAATTGTGGTGGTTAAATTGTTTTGATCATGACATGAAGCCTTTCTTTCTGCCTGCCTGCAGTTTTCTTTGACTCAGGATTTTGACCATGATATTCCTGGGAGTTTTCATTCTAAGGTTTCTCTCAGGAGATGGCCAGTGGATTCCTTCTATTTCCACTTTGCCCTCGAGTTCTAAAAGATCTGAGCAATTTTCTGAGTAGAGAGAGAGTGACATGATCAGACTTATGTTTCAGGCAGATCAGATAGGGTAAAAGGCAGCAAAGATCTCCTTCCCAGAGGAGTAGAAAGAGGTGCCTAGTGGGGACTGTTTGAGCAATACTGGTTATAAATCACAAGATGATGGACTGGAGTAGGGAGAGACATGACAGAGAGATCAACCAGCAGGCTATTGCAATAGTCCAGGCATAAGGTGCTATGAGCCTGCACCAGGATGATGGAAGTGTGAGAGGAAAGAGGGAGAGGAGGAAAACGCAAGAGATGTTATGAATCCACAAGCCTTGGTATTAGACGAAATATGGAGGGATGAGAATGAGGAATCTAGGATGGCACTGAGGTTGTAAGTGTGGGTGAATGGGAGGGGATTCAGAGGGTGGCAAATGAGAAGTTCAGTTTTGGACATGTTGAGTTTAAGATATCTATGGGACATCCAGTTAGAGATGTCCAATATGGCACCTGAGTGTCATAGTGAGTAATGTGTTAAGCCTGAATTCAGGAAGACCTGAATTCAAAACCTGCCTCAGACACTTGCTGCTGTGTGACCCTGGACAAGTCATTTTCTGTTTTCCTTAGTTTCCTCAACTGTACAATGAAAATAGTAACAACACCAACCTCACAGGATTGTCACAAGGATCGAATGAGAGAGTATCTGTCAAGTGCTTAACACAGTACCTGGCACAGAGTAGGCACTAAATAAATACTTATTCCCTTGTCCTTCCAACAGGCAGATGGAGATGCTATTCTGGAAATCAGCAGAGTGGTTAGGGATGGAGGGGTAGATTTGAGAATCATCAGCACAGAGTTGAATTAAATCCATGGGAATTGGTGAAATCGCCAAAAGACAGAGAAGAGAACAGGGCCCAGGACAGAGACCTCTGGAACAACAAACGTAACTTGGATAATTCAACAAAGGAAACTGAGGCTCTGTTAGATAGACAGGAGAACCAGGAGAAAGTAGAGTCACTGCAAAACTAGAGGAGAGAGAGAATTGGCAGTGTCAAGGGCTGTGGAGAAGTCAAGAAGGATGAGGATTGAGAACAGCCCTTTACATTAAATTTGGTACTTAAGAGATTGTTAGGAACTCTGGAGAGAGCAATTTTGGTTGAAGGATGATTTGGGAAGCCAGACTGTTAAGAAGAGAGTAACAAGAAAGGAACCCTTTCAAAGAGTTTAGTCACATAAGGGAGAAGAGGTATGGGATGGACCAAGTGAGGGTTTTTGGAGGATGGAACATGGGCATGTTTGCAGGCAATAGGCAAGCAGCCTGGAGATCGGGAGATGTTGAAATAAAAGTAAGAATGAAAGAGGGGACAATCTGGTGAAGAAGACAGAATGGAATGAGATCACTTGTACATGTTGTTTGCCATGGCAAGAAAGGATACCTCATTTTATGTGAGACTGGGATGAAAGAGAAGCATGTGTGTGAGAGGAAAGAACTGGAACAGAAAAGAATGTTATAGAGAAAAGACTTGGGAAGATAAGAGGTACAAAACTTTATCAAACAGACTCCCTGCAAAGTAGAATGGACCAAACAGAAGTTAATGACTCCATGACACAAGAAGAAATATTAAACAAAGTCAAAAGATTGAAAAAAAATTAAAAAACGTAAGGTCTCTCTTATCACAAACTGACCTAGAAAAGAGAGACAAGGAAAGAGAATTTAAGAATCATTGGACTACTGAAATTCATGACCAAAAAAAAGAAGAACCTGGGTATCTTATTTTAAGAAATCATGAAAGAAAACTGCCCAGATCTCTTAGAACCAAAGGACAAAGTTCAATACTGAAAAAATCCACAACCTGTCTTCTGAAGTCCCCAAATGAAAACTTCCAGAGCTTCAAGCTACAAGAAAAAATATGGCAAGCAGCCAGAAAGAAAGAGTCCAAGTACCACGGAACCAGTGTCAGAATCATACAAAATTTAGCAGCTCTAGGAGCAAAAAGTTCCTGGAATATGATATTCCAAAAGGTAAAAGACACAAGCTTTCCCTGAAGGGGAAAAAAACTGACATTTAATGAAATAGAGGACTTCTAAGCATTCCTGATTAAAAGTCCAGCACTTAATAGAAATTTGGAAATATACAAGTGGGGATAAAAAGAAATACAAAAAGTAAATTCAAGAGAGAAATAAAAAAAAAAAAGACATTAAGAGAATGAAATGTTTGCATTCTAATGGGGAGGAGAGGGATAAAACAAGCATCCCCTAAGAACAGTGGTGCCCATCTGCAAGCCAGGTCTCACCTGGGGCTCCAAGTAGCTGTAGTATGTACAGCGGCCACACCCTGGGAAACCATCTAGGCAGGCAGGTTAAACCAGATGGAGGGTAACCAAAGGGCCTCAAACCCGTTGGTGATTTAGGAGGGGTGTCTACCCCAAGCACATGAAGACTTCCTGGTAGAATAGGTGGATGGGAACATTTTGTTTCAGGAGCTAGAGAGTACCTTGACCTTAGTCAGGCTCCAATGTCATCCACT